CGTATCTTGCCCCGTGGAAATATTATTTGAAGGCAAAGGCGGCTCAACTGCTGAATTTCCCTGCTGTCTTCGCGCTGCCGGTATTATTACTTCATCCTTCCGTATACTTTGCATAAGCTCGTTGAGTTGTTTCGATAGATTGTCAATTTGCACTTGCTGTCGTTCATTTTTTTCACGTTGTAACAAAAGCTCCTTCCTCAGCTGTGATTCTTTATCTGATTCGGTAATATCTTCGCTTGAGCTTATTTTCTTCGTGAATTTACTAAGAGCATCCATTTTTGAAGGTCGTAAGTAAATGTTTGAATGTCGCTGATTATCGTGTGAGTGGTCAGTTACGTCTGTTAAGGATTGTGTTCCGGAAGTTTTGTCAGAGTCTGTACTCTCGTTATCGACAGTTCGATAGTTACAAAAAGTATCGCGATCTAGCATATAAGTCTAACCTATTTTTCAAGCGCGAGTGTAGTGATGTGAATGTACACGTGTGAAAGCTTATTAATTACGACTGCGTTTATGATTGAAAGGTAAATAATCTCACTGATACGACAGACAAAGTGGGGCCAACTTTCTCTGTAATATCTCAATCATAGACTTCAGTTTACAAAATATAACGCGGCGCAATAAGTTCTTTACTTTTTGAACTTATTAAAATTTATTTTTGCGTACCTTGAGTCCTTTAGACCTCCCTGTTGGGCCGTAAAAACGGTAGCACTGAATATATCCGTGAGCACAACGTGCGCTGAAGTTGAGCTGCTCCCCTGGCAACTGCGAGACTCCTGAATCGGCAACGATTTGTGCGTGTAGGCTGATGAACGATGTCGGCTGCTTCTCTGAAAACTGCTGCACCAATCAATATCAGCCGAGAATGTGCGTTCGGACTGTCCTCTTCTCTGGGAACTGAGTGATAATCCGGAGTCGAGCGATCTCTATGCTGCCTCTTGACTAAACGGTCCGATTATACTACTGGTAGTTTTTTTTTTCTAACCGTTTTTTCTTTATTCCACCCTTGCTGCCACCAAATGTCATCCAATTTTGATGATTTTCACGGCAAGTTTTACACGCTGCGGTAGCGATAGTCGAGTTATAAGGCGCGTGTGGGTACTTGCAGGAATCTAGGCGTCGAAGTCGGCAGTTATATAATAATACTTTTATTATAAAGTGACAGAGCTCCAGAGAGATGTCTTTACAAGGCGAAATCGTGTACAGGACTGCCTGCGCTTGTCCCTCTCGGGGGCTCACAAACTTAAGATAAGTCCCTACCACTTCCTTCAGGAATAAGTATATCCTGGGAACCGAGAGAGTCATATCGCTTAATTGTTTATTTAGGTTTGCAGCTGTCTATGTTCTATTTCATTTCTGGTCTATCATGTATTTACCGCGTACAGTTTGTTTGTTTCGGCCTTTCTTATGTCTTCTACTTCAGTCGGCCCGCGTGTGCAACGAATACGCGTGTATGACATATGTTCTTAGCTACAGGAGATAACTATATTATTTTATTATTAGTTCGCATGACACAAGTCGAAATGAGAGAAAATTCTCTCCAAGCGGACTCATCATTCAATCGTAGCTAAAAGGCATATCTCTCGATAACATACGTTATCTTCTTCTAGTAATACATATGTTATCATCATTAATGAATATTTTCTGAGAAATATATCTTTAAACAGTGGAGGGTTGGCATGCCGCGGTATCTTACCTCTGTAACTGGTCTAGTATTTGGCTCGCGGCTCACTGAAAAACCCATAGTTCGAAACAGCTATAAACATAGCAGAAGGAATATGGATCACGATATGTTGTTACTATCTACAGCTGTGTGTGAAAGTGTATGACCAAAGATATTTTTATTTTTTAATAATGTATAAAGAATGTATAGTGGAAACACAAATATACCTTCATAAAGTACTTTTATTATACTATCAAACCATGTGATCCAAACATTTTTTTAACTATTAACAACATAAATAAATTCGATCCCATACGGCAGCTCATTGAAAGCACGCGAGATTCCAAAATTTCATCGACGTAGCGTCTAGCTGTTAACACGGGAGGTGGAACTATAATAAAATCATTTTGCGATTGTTTAAACAGATTTCTCCCCATACCATGACGGATCCACCAGAAGAAATTCTAATCGGTTGAATATGGTTTGGCTCAAAACGCTCCCTCCTACGACACCAAATGCGTATTCGAACATCGTTACCATACAGGCAAAATCGTGACTCGTCTGAACAAGACGTTCCCCCACTGATTAATCAACTATTGCCCATGAGTTCCAGTATAATACAGACGAAATCTACGATGTTTTGTTGTGAGAAAGGATACTCTAGCACGGATTCACGATCTTTAACCTACTTCGTCTCCTTACCGTTTGCAAATTGTTTTGCCTTTATGGCATATAAATTTATTGCACATTTTTTACCGGTTCATGTAAGGTTGCTCGTAGTATACGGTAATCCTCGCAAGCATTTGAGACTTTCACATATTACCAGACTTGTACTCTATCGTTTTGCTGCTGATAACTGTTATGGTATTTTTTGCTAATTTTGCAATTATTCAGTCATAATTAATCAACTATATGTTTGCTGATAATAGCAGTAAACTTAAAATTAACTATATACATACATATACTACATATGGGTAATTCTTGGCTATTTCGATTGACTTGTAACCCTTAGGTTACGGATTTTTTTTTCATTTGGTACAATTGTTGTACACATAAAACTGAGATTTTTCCCAAATTTTGGAGACGATACATTAATTATATCAAAAGTTATTAACAATTAAAGAAAAATGATAAAAAATTTTCAAACGGCTATATTTTAAAAACTAATAAAGATATCGAAGTCGGATTTTTTTCAAAATACTTATAATGCCTTAAAATTTCGAAATAATTACAACAATAAACAATAAAAATTTTTTTTCGAAAGTTATTAACTTTTTGTTTAAACAATTGCTAATATCTCAAAAAGTATATTTTTTTTTTGAAAAATTCTTGCTCCTATGTATTCCTGAGGATTTTTGCTATCGAAATCATTCATTAAATTCAAGGGCCCGACATATCGGAAAGCGTAGCCCTAATCAAAAGAAGATGCCTCGGTGTCCGGTCGCTTTCGACCGTGAGTCCGCTGGAGCGCTACCGCAGCCTTACGCCGTGGCGTCTTCTTTTGATTAGGGCTACGCTTTCCGATATGTCGGGTCCTTAAATTTTATGAATGATTTCGATAGCAAAAATCCTCAGGAATACGTAGGAGCAAGAATTTTTCAAAAAAAAAATATACTTTTTGAGATATTAGCAATTGTTTAAACAAAAAGTTAATAACTTTCGAAAAAATTTTTTTATTGTTTATTGTTGTAATTATTTCGAAAGTTCAAGGTATTATAAGTAATTTGGGAAAAATCCGATTCGGTATCTTTATTAGTTTTTTAGATTAAAGCTAAAGTACCTTTCGACCGTGAGTCCGCTGGAGCGCTACCGCAGCCTTACGCCGAGGCGTCTTCTTTTGATTAGGGCTACGCTTTCCGATATGTCGGGCCCTTGAATTTTATGAATGATTTCGATAGCAAAAATCCTCAGGAATACGTAGGAGCAAGAATTTTTCAAAAAAAAAATATACTTTTTGAGATATTAGCAATTGTTTAAACAAAAAGTTAATAACTTTCGAAAAAAAATTTTTATTGTTTATTGTTGTAATTATTTCGAAATTTTAAGGCATTATAAGTATTTTGAAAAAAATCCGACTTCGATATCTTTATTAGTTTTTAAAATATAGCCGTTTGAAAATGTTTTATCATTTTTCTTTAATTGTTAATAACTTTTGATATAATTAATGTATCGTCTCCAAAATTTGGGAAAAATCTCAGTTTTATGTGTACAACAATTGTGCCAAATTGAAAAAAAATCCGTAACCTAAGGGTTACAAGTCAATCGAAATAGCCAAGAATTACCCATATACATATATAAAATTTATTTTTGCTTATTTATATTTTTTTATAATATATAAATGTATTCGCCATTACCAGTAATAATACTGTTCATGGAATATAATCAAATCATTCATAAACAATTTTCAGATTGAATATAATATGGAATAAAAAATTGTATTATTGTAACAGTTATTGATAGCAAAATAGAAAGTACAAATCTGTTTAAATGGAAGTCTCACATTCAAGTCTCGATCAGGTTGGTTATTTTCTTATGTCTTTTTTCAATTTTCCTAAATAGTTCATCTTGTATAGCAACTGTCCACATTCTTTTATCCAAAATGTGCATGTATTATTTATTTATTCAATTATTAAAAACGAGTCAGTTATCAAGTATAAAATTTATACAAATCTCATGCAAATTTTGTATAAAATTTATACAAATCTAATGTAAATTGTGTATAAAATTTATATAAACCTTGTGTAATATTTGTATAAATTTTATATATATTCTTGTATGACTTAAATACATATTCTAAACAAAATTTGTATACTTATTTGCAACAGAAAAGGAATACTTAGCGACAGATCATTTTCTTTAATATCTGTATCCTTAACTAAACAAAGCGATTTGTTAAAATATTTCTACATTTTCTATATCAATTTATCATTGGAGTAAAAGTTATAACTAAGATTTTCATTATTTATTAATAGTTCAAATTATGTGATTTACACATCTTACGAAATGTTAATTTCATAATTAAAAATTGTCCTTTTAAGAAATCAGGAATATTCCAATTAGAACAAGTCTTGAAACATTTTGAAATACTGACAGTTTACTGCCAATTTGTAATCTTCATGGAAAACAAGTTAGTATAGAAATTTATTATTTTAATTATCATATAGTAAAATTATTTTAGATGCATTTGTACATTACTATACAATAAAAATTGAGAAGAATCATTTTTGTCTGAAGCACTTTACTTCATGTTCTTTTATCTAAATTCTACTTTTGAAGAAGTAAAGTACTTTAGACAATATCGTGTTGATAAAAATATGTAAATAAATTTAATAATATTTACCAATGCAATGGGCATATGATACATCATAGAAGAGTAAAACTTTCATTGTCAAATCTTGAAATTGTTTATAAAATGCTTTACAAAATTTATTGACATCTATTGTATTCTTTGGAAAAACATAAAATGTAGGTAAATTATTAGAACTAGTTAAACAAGCATGTCCAAAATGTACACAAGCCTCTGCTTCTACGTGATTTGCAAGAAGTTTGTCATTACAGCAATTTTGATATCCAGTATCATTGATAACGAAAAAAGAGGCATTTGTATGTTTTTGCAAATACAAAACTAGTTCTATTAAATACTTTGAAACATCATCTGACAACTGTAGGCAAATCTGTAAAAAGATGGTTTTTTTATAATTAATAATAAAAACTAAAATACAATCTAACATTTAGTAATAATATTAAATCTTAATTTTCATAAATAATTATTGAACATTTTTTTATAGTTTAGAAGTTGAGTTTTAAATTATAACTGTCGCATTTTAATACAGTACTAAAATATCATTTTTTGTATATATTAATGATGATTATTTCAAAATTGTATTGAATTTATATTAAATTTTACAAATACTACTACAAAATTACAAAATTTTAATAGCAAACTATTTGTATAGAACATCTGTTCAATACTGGTTAATTAATACTGTTACTCATTCAATTTAATGCATGGTACAAAAGTCACTATATTTTTGTACAATTAATTTCAATATATTTAATACCTTCTTAAATGAATTAGTGTTTATCCAGTCAATACATTCATCAAGCTGAATCATTTTTTTAAACACACTTAAATACGTTATTACTGTAGACAAATATATTAAAATGGTAAGCTAGAATCTCTATTTCTCCATATTTAAATTGTCCATATGTAAAAAAGACTAAGACGGAAAATGAAATCTTATGAAATAAAAATGAAATTATTGTAAAATTTCTCCTTTATCTTTCTTTTCACAAGTTTGTCATAATATTTTTAACTACCGTCAATCCTTGAAAATACAAAAAATTAAGACAGAAATAGCTTTCAATAAAAATAAATTTGCTTAGTTTGTATATTTTGAGCAAATAATTTGCTTCATTTACGTTTTCCTATAATAAAAATATCAGTGTGGTCAGACTAAACACAAACATTCAATGATAATAATTGGCCGAAATATCGATTATAACAGTGGGGAATAAGTCGTGCAAACGGGGAAAACATTTGTGCAATATTCACCGATGCAAAAACAGCTCGACACAAATAACATTTTCTAAAAAAAAATGATCACATCTCACGTATGTCTAATTGTACTTCTCGAAAAAATAATTATTTGTTATTGTACCATTATATTTCTTATAAAAAATAAACAATATCGTTATCGATAATTTACCTCCTATTTATTCACATAAAAGACATAATTAAGCAAAAATAAATTCACAGAAAAATTGTACCTTCTGTAGTCTAAATTGTACCATAAGTACAATTCTATAAATTTTTTTCTAAAAGAAATAATAGGACAATTACAAATTACCACTAATTGTTACAACTGTCAGGGATGTCATCCGGAAATGCACTTTGCGCAGGCGTAGAGCTTTGTAATTGTCCTATTATTTCTTTTAGAAACAAATTTATAGAATTGTACTGATGATACAATTTAAACTACAGAAGGTACAATTTTTCTGTTAATTTATTTTTGCTTAATTATGTCTTTTATGTGAATAAATAGAAGATGAAATATCGATAAAGATATTTTTCATTTTTTATGGAAATATAATGGTACAATAACAAATAATTATTTTTCCGAGAAGTACAATCCGACATACATGAGATGTGATCATTTTTTTTATAAAATGTTATTTGTGTCGGGCCATTTTCGCATCGGTCTCGGTGCAGGCCTAACCACCACTCTGTTAACTACGTATTAAGTATACGTGGATTCCGTCTTTACGTTTGATTCAAGCTCCAACTTCAGGCCCTCGCCACATATGCGCATACACGTGCGTACAACGCCCATGGAGACTGTATACAGGAGGCGAGGCAGAGACGATTTATCTAGGCAACTTTCTCTTTTTCTCGGAAGGAATTAGCCGATTTTAGCGCCGTGCTCGGTAGTTAGTGAACCACTAGAAGACTTACAATATGAGCGCAGCTTATCGACCATGGAGATGTATACAGTCTCCATGTTATCGACCATGGTACTGTAGGTGACGAAGATAACTCGCCATTGCATATCTTTTTGTAAAAAGGAATTCATTAATTTTATAGAAAATTAATACTATTTTACGATGAAAAAGTCTTGCAAAATATCGTTTTTGTTATTTTTTTGTAATGGTAGAATACGCTTTTCGATTACTCGATTTTAATAATTTTATAGTTTTTTTTTTTATATTTCCTTATTAAACAGTATAATGTCTAATAATAAATAACAATCGATATACTTAACTTTAATGATAGTTACGTTGATTAATGTGGTCATTGTCAACTATCCACGAAATTTTTACCGTGTAAGATAATTATCTTTTTAATAGAAAAATATTGTTACGAAAGCCATAATTCAATTGTATAAAAAGCATAGATTTTTAACATAAAAATTTACAATAATTATAATTATTTTTTAATTTGTTAGTAATTCTCACCTGTTTTGAATTTAGTAAAAACTAAATGTTGGCAATTAATTTGATTTTGAATGACAACAAAAAATGAATCAATTATCTTCTTTAGATTGGGAGACGCGACATTTGGACAACGAGTGCGAAAATTCCAATCTGCATTCTCCAGTGATGCTGCACGCCATCAACTTACAAATGCTAGAGAGAGTTTTGGTGGCTTAATTAAATCTAGCGTCAATGTTTTTGAATTAATTAAGATGGTTGAAAATTGTGTGACCTTTATAATTGAGTGTAATAATGGCATGACTAGAGATAGTATGCAGTTCATTGTTCAAAAAATAATAAAAACGAACTCTCTAGCGTTTGTTGGTTGTACAGATCATGTAATAAAATTAACATACAAATTCATAATTTACTATTTAGAAAGACGAATGAAAATGGCGTGCAAGCGACACAATATTGTCCATGATGCAGAAAAATTAAAATCAAAAGAACTACGCAAACAGTCAAAATATTAATTTCAGTTTTATATTCATTATTTAATTGTTTATATTAAATATATGCGGGAACATCATCATCAATCAAACCCCACACATAACACCTCATCTATACGTAGAATTTCTCGTTATTTCCAAATCCGGAATCAAAAATAGGGGTTCCTATGCAAAAAATCACTGTGACCTTCAAATGACCTTCAAAATCATTCTAAGTGTGTGTGCGTGTGTGTAACAATCTCACTTAAACAAACTTCTAAAACTTTTTCGAAAAATTTAGTTTTTATATATATATTGTGACGGTAAACGTCAAATTAGCGCTGATAATATAACTTAATTGTTGCCTGTGAGGGCAGCACCTGCCGGGGGGACGAAATTCATAACGAAGGAATTCGGCACGCGAGCAGACGGAACGCGCGCGATTGAAACCGAACTAGTGAAGCGTCAATTAGATTACCAGAAGAATATCCAGAGCAACAACATCCAGTTATCTACAATCGTTGCCGCCAAGGTGCCATACGATTGCCAGTTCGGAGCCAGGTCAAGAAAGTGTGTGGGAGGTTTCGCCATCGAGGGCGAAACCATAACCGCGCGCGCGTGTTCGTGACCGGCGATAAACATGAACACATGAAAACTGTTCCGCTCTGTGCGAGTTATTTGTGTTTCCTTCGATCGCCTGCAATAATAAGGTAAGCTGGCCAGCTTAATTTCGCGATCGCGGTTGCATGATTAATAATTAATTTCCGATATTTGAAGCGTGCATGCATCGGCTCTAATAACAAAGAGCAGCGAGCGTACCGGCAATACGTGTTGCCGACGAGCGAGCGTCAATGTAAACAAACGCGCGGGCCGACTTTATGTAGTGTTTGAATGGTAATAAAAGGCTACGTCCGTGTTATTAACAAGTATTTTTCGACTCGCTCATTTCATATAGCTTCCACTCACCTTTCTTAGATCAGATGACTTACTGGTTGACTGACGCACGTTTCCACATGCTCTCCGATTTATGCATTGAGCATAAATAATTACGCGCGTCCTTTTAGTATAATTGCGCGAATAAAATAATTAAACGGTTTTACCCCGTTACATGGCGCCCAACGTTAAAGAACCTACGGTGTTTTTGATAGTTCAAAACACCGGTTCTCAATAGTGACCTCGCGCTCAGTCAACCAGCGACTCAGGTGGCAATCAAGTGTTGTTGTGCACACTTGATACCGAAGGCCACGTTAGTAAACAGAGCCTGTTAGCTAGCTTGCGAAGGCTCACCGCGGCGAAAAATTGTAAACAATAGCTGTGAACGCGTGCGAGTGCGACCGAAAGATTCTTAAACGTAAACACCAACGAATTTTGAAAGTTGCCGCAAATAATATTATTATACCCGTTGGCCCGGGGAAAACTAACACCGGCAATTTTCAAACAAAATTAATTCAATTGAGTAATTTTATTTGACATCGTATTGTCTTAACGTAAATGTGTTTTTTTTAAATATTATTAACTGCGGCTATTGGTGATTACGCGCAACGCTCGTTACAATATTTTAGATACTAACTCACACAGCCGTACTAACAAACAGTTAGTGCGTCTGATAGGCAGGATCATTATATTGCGTATTAACGAGCGAAGAATCTTTCGGCAAATAAATCATAAAACGCCTTTGATCAAGCCCAGTGTTGGCTAATAAATTTTTTTTATTTTCATTCGGCGTACGAATTGTAATACAACACTCGCACTCGCGTAACATACCTGTATTGTTACAAAGAAATTAAACGCAAGTAAACAAACAGACAATCATGGACCGCACTCAGACAGAAATAGAAAATTGGGTATGGACGCTCCAGGAGGAGGAAATCGAAGAATACCTCGAGCAACTGGAGCTCAAAACAAGCGGGAGCAAGCTCTCGAGAGCTGCACGACTGCATAACTGGTTACTCGGCGACTATTCCGAAACAGATTTCGCGGAAGTCGACAACCAACACAGCAGTCCAGCCAAAAGAGCCGCCCTACGCTCGGAGCTAATTGTATCCCTATGCCAGGAACACACAGCATCCGAGCAGGAGGGAGAACACCCGCTAGCCCAACTATTGCAAAGTGTGGACGTAATATCGCGAGTTCAGAAAACCGCGATAAACATCGCCAATGCCCTGGACAGCGGAGAGAACCCGAATAGTAATAAGAGTATTACTATAACGGCTGACGATGGCAGCCAATTCAAACTCCCGCCGGCATTCGCGGTGATGATTCAAGACCTCATTTTCCGGTCCAGAGAAAATGAGAAGAAATTGAAAGTACAAGACTCACGGAATTCGAATACGTCTAACCTAACCCAAATAGTAGAACAAATCGTCAGAACCAACATCAAGGTGCAGGAACAAATGGACAACCTGTCAACCAGGATGAACGCACTGGAAAATGCCGTACACAGAGATATGCGGCAAGACGATTCGAACAGTTCCAACGAGGAGCCACAACCGGAAAACACGCGTAGGAGCGTCGCATTCCAGGATAAATTCACATGCCACTACGACGCCAGGCTACCCCAGAGCACTCCAGCCGGACCCGGACAGAGGCCCAAGGGGGCCGCCGGCAGGACCCCCCGCCAGACGCCCTCTTTCGGAGAGGGTGGACAGCATCAACTCGGTGGAGTTAATGCTGAAGTGGACAACCACCCGCCGAGCATGTGGTCATCCCAACAGACGTCAAACCCGTGGTCGACAACAAGGGACGTCGGCCGCATCGTCCGGGGATGGAAACTCAGGTTCTCCGGAGACGGCAACGCGAGCATTGACACCTTCTTATCAAGGTTGGACAACTCAAGGAGCAGCGCTGGACTCACAGAAGACGAGATGCTCATGGCTGTATCCGAGCTACTCGTCGGTCCTGCCCTCGTCTGGTACGAAGCAATGCGAAACGAATGGTTCTCCTACGCGGATTTCGAGGCAGACGCCGGAGCATGGTTTGGGACCAGCAGGCAACAGCAGCAGCGTCTAACCAAAGAAGTTCAAGGCCGATACCAGGGCCCAGACGAACCCGCGAACGTATACATCGCGAACATGATGGCCCTAATGAGTCGGCTGAACCCCAAAATGGCGCACG